CGTATATGCAATCGTGTTGTACGGATTTATACTCAGTCTTTACTCAGTCAGCGGGAAAAATACCTCATATTTTCCATTTAAACAAAATGTTATTCAGAAAAATATAATTACATGATATGGATTTGAGAACACAATTAATTATCTATATAAACACATATTTATTTAAAATAACACATATTTTGACACACAAATCTCTTAATGCTGTCCGATGCAACTACCTATTTTGACTTGTACAATATCTTGCCGTGCTCTTTGGGTGAACAATTGACTGACTTTTGTAAATGCTCATGACGAAGTCGGAATCGTAAAATCTACTTATAAATATCAAAAGGTTTTTGTCGCTTGTATTTATAAAGAATCCATAACTTTCAAGCCAGACGCCAGCTATCATTGAATTTTTAAAATTTAGCCAAGGGTTATGTATCTATTATAGTCTCTTACAGTTCTTTATATATGTAAGAAGCGAAGTAACAAATTTCAATTATCTCAAAATGGACAAGACGGATAGGTGGAAATGTTCAATACGTAAATGTTTAATTAAATGAAAACGTAGATTCTTAATTTTGGTAAATACATGTAGCCGTACATCTACAGGATGTTCCAACAGAAAATGAAAATGACTTGTAACACTGAAGCGGGTGGCAACTTGACTACCTTTGCGGTTCAAAATAGACTGATCATAGTTTATTCTAGCACATTGTTTATTCTGTCATGAGAACTCCATCATGAGAATCATTTGCCAGACATTATAATATACTACAAAGGAAAACAGAAACAGGAAATAACTCATAATTTTCCCCAAGTGTAAGAGATATGAGTTTTTATATTTATACGTGTGAGATAATAATGAACGAATTGGGAACACATTACAACCGGCACTGAAGTAATCAGCAAACGTGGTCGGCGACCTGTGGACGTTAACAAACACGTCTCCCTTTCATGGGGGAAAGGTCTGGGCTGATTGCTGGACTTGGCGTTCTATGGAGGTCGTAGTGCTGCTCGAGGTGAACATTAACGATTCGTGCACGGTGAGCACGGGCATGGTCGTCCTGAAAGACAAAGCGATGTCCTTACCAATAGATCTTATCTGGAAAGATAGCTTATCAGCTTAACTGATTTTAAAAAAGGTCCCATTAATATACTGCAAAAATGATTGCCTCTCTTCCCCAACCAATCCACCCACCAAAACACACACACACACACACACACACACACACACACACACACACACACACACGTGATATGCTCTTAAAATGAATTAAATTCTTGTGCTCACCTCCAGCAGTACAACTTCCATAGAATGACATGGTCAGCAATGAGCCCGGACCGTTCCCCTTTGAACACGTCTGGGGTATGATAGGGAGACTTACGCGTCAACATCATAGGCCGCACACAACGTTGGCTGAACTTGACTCGGTGCTGCAAGAGGAATGGGACAGAGTATCCCTTTCTTTTTTGAAGAATACATCATACGTGCATCCCCGAAACCAATTGTATATTTATAGGATATTATACGAACCTCCTATTTCTTATCATGTTTATGTACTGAGTGGAATAATAATTACATTAACGTCATTTCCGACATGCATACAATAATAACCCTGCGAATTAAATACAAAGACTGATGAACATTTTGGAAATCCAAGCTAATAAGCAATTTTAGTCATTAAGTGAAAGTTGCGTAAACCCTATTCTCTTACTCCCTTACCCCTGAAATAAGACTAGTTGAACAAATAGATGTGCTGATGCCCTTACTAGTCAACCAATCAAACATTGTAACAGCCGGCTACCAGGACCTTCCTATTTCATGTCAAGTTTATGTCCTGAGGGGAATGATTATTATTAATTTTAGCTAGGGACAGAGAATATATTTCATGAGAGACGTGAAGTGGGTATGAAATTGAAACGACTTTTGATTCCTATTCATAACCAATGTATTCATTATCCAGCATATGTTTGCAGGATCTACATCAATACACTACTATTATGAACCACACAGGGACGTCCTTGTAATACTATACTACACCTTTTATATGTGTCCATATGATGAGCTACAATGTGTGCAAAACACAGAGTCGCATCACTTCCAGCATACCAAAATCATTAACTGGATTTGTCATCCCGTGAAGATTCCAGGTTGGAATTGGTCTTTAGCAACCCATGCTGGTCGTAAGCAACTAATGAGATCGGGTTGTCAGGGTCGCTGACGTAGATCATGCATGTCATCTTATCACAATTACATAGATAGATGCTGATGATGTCAATCACTGGATTGACTCGATAATTTATGTACCGTCAAATAGCTGTAATATTGTTGATAGCGGGGTTCAACAACAAACAAAAACAACTTGAAAACTAGAAATGTTTTTTTTATTGAATGTTATTTACACAAAGGAATTCTTTCCCCAAAATAATAATATAACTCCAGGATCTTGTAAATTTTAAAAAAACATACATCACTGTATATTTGGTCGATACCAGCAGGTTTTTCAGCAATGCATGTCGTTTTGGTGAAAATAAAATAATGGTCATTTGATGTATGGCATCAGAAATTCCAAGGACAAACATGTGATTTCTTAAAGTGACAAACACACATAACAATATTGAAATACTCATAACGATTGTTCCAATGATACTAAAAGCCATTCTTTATTTTCGTTTTTTAAGATGGCGTTAAAGAACTGTATAAAGACCAACCTGACACTGATCCTCACTGTCATCTCTGCAGTGATGGGAGTGACCATCGGGTTGCTGTGTCGACAGCTTCATCTCTCCACGGACACCATCCTACTCATCAGTCTCCCGGGAGATACATTCATGAGGATGCTGAAGATGCTCATACTGCCGATGGTTGTTGCAAGCATGATCACAGGTACAGTGGAATGTGTCTGGACCCGACTTGTGTAGGGCCAAAATGTTAGTACGGTTTAGGTCCGGATTGGTTAGATTTTAACAGGAGTTGCGTGTTGAAAACGCAATTTCGAAGACAATATCATACAAGAGCCAGTCCCCTCATGTTTACCGACTGATTGAAAGAAGTACAGTTTAAAACTTTGCTAGAAGTCGAAATCGATAACTTTCTATTCAGTCCGGGTGGTTAGCGATCATGATTTTAACAACTTCCACCGTAGAAGAGAATTTCTTTATTCGAAAGATTGACATCCCTCCAACACTGTTATATTCTGCATCATCTGTCAATATTATAATTTCAGGTTTTGTAATTGGTATACATATTAAATACACGGTTATCTTTGCTTCAATTGTTCCTGTTATAGTTTCAAGGAGCAACTGTCCTGTTCTGTGTTTGACATCCACAAAACACTATTATTCTGCTTCATAAATTCCAACGGCGAGATAAACAGTTGTGTGACAAATTCGGTTTACGATAATCAAGCTTTAGTTCATCTGTTATGCACCCAAGCCATATATTCATAATTCTTCTTCTTGGAAGTGAGATCATATATGCCAGCCATCATGTGTTAGGCAACAGATAACGGTGCCGCATACTGACGCCTAAAACACCCCTCAGTGAAGCAACGCCAAGCGGCAAATTTATCTCAACTGTCCACAAGTCACCGAGTACGGGTTGCCGCGGGGTCTGCAGGGTCAGTATCGATACATTTACAATAACGTCCGTCACTGCCCACTATGGAAATTACCAAAGACATTCTAGAAATCCATTGTCGTCCAAATAACCCCCGTGATGTACGTAGCTCCAGTCAATAAGCGCCTCTTACTTCAACAACTGTTGAATTTTGGCGCGTTCTGGTTTCTTTATGTTTTGGTGTTTTTTAAAATGTATTTGAAATTCCTTCATTCATATATTTTGTATATTTTTATATTCAACGGGTCTTTATGTCATAAACAAAATGGATATTGCCGACAGAAGAAAACTAAAACTAAGAGCCACTGGCACTGAGTTAGTGAGTGAGTGAGTGAGTGAGTGAGTGAGTGAGTGAGGAAGCGAGTGGGTGAGAGAGTTTGGTTTAACGCCTCTTTGAACAGTATTTTAGTAATATCACATTGTTGTGTTTCATTACACCCGATGGCCTGAAAAATGCAATTAAAAAGTCCAAATAAAACACGGCGCCAGGGCCTGATGGTATTCGAACCGGTTTTGGAAACTCTTCCCATGTAACCAAACACTATTACTTCACTGTTTCAATTCTCTTGTGGACAATTCTTCTCCCAAAGAAAGGTGATTTGACTTACCCTAAAATCTTCCGCCCTTTAACTTGTCTGAATAAAAAGTACTAAATATTCACAGGGTGTCTTAAAGATCTCGTGTCACCATACTGCGCTTCCAAAGACATTATTTCCATGGAACAGAAAGTAGCCAGAAAGGGATGTTGGGGTTGTAAGGATCAATCGCTCGTTCAGGAAATTACCCTTGAAGAGGCTAACACTTACCACCGTTACCTGTCAATGTGTTGGATTGACTTAAAAAAAGCTTATGATTCTGTACCTCACGAATGGATTTTGAAGTCATTGGAATGTATTGACCTCCCCGAGCGACTACTTGATCAACTTGAGATGTATTCGCCGGGGCAGGTGGTGACTTTGGAACCAATTTCTATTAGAAGAGGAATATTTCAGGGCGATTATTTTGGTCCTTTGCATTGTTGTTTTTCACTAAATCCTTTTAGCGTTAGCCTAAGCAAAGAGGAAGGTTATCATCCTGGACCTCCTCAGCACAGATCCCAAACACCCCTTTTTCACTTCCTTTACATGTTGCCAAGTTATCAACGCTAAAAAAACAGATTCTCCTTGTCGAGTCCTTTTAAATGATATCGGCATGTCCTTTGGACTCGATAAATGCAACATTCTTCACCTGAAACGTGGCAAGGTGGGAGAGGGAGGGCCAGGCAGTTTACATGGTGGCGATATAAAATCGTAGCAACGAGATATGAAGTCGACGCCTTGATAAGATACAACGCGCCTTTGAGATAGTAGTTGTGTACAACGATATTTGAAAACCTACGCAACGAAACAGTTTGGTCAACATGTCCCGTCCAAGGTTGCAAAGAATGCTAGCTACGTTAGTCACTTCCACGTTTTCCATTCCCTTAAGAGTGATTTATGTTTGAACAGGAATTGCAAACATGGACACCAGGTCATCAGGAAAGATTGGTCTGTTCACCATCGCCTACTATGTTTCCACAACCGTCATAGCTATCCTGGTAGGCTTTGCCCTGGTGTTCATTATCAAACCTGGATTACATGGTACACTGGCGTCATCTGACACGCAGTCTGACGACTTTCATGCTCCCTCGACAGTTGACATGTTTCATGATCTCATCAAGTGAGTAATGACAGTTATAGAAATACCTTTTTGAATCTTAGCTTGTAACCGTAATGTATCCTTGACTCAACCTTAAGAGACCATGCTTCAGACACTTGCTTCTCTACACGTTTAAAAATCACACGTACCTTATAAAAAACTTTCATTGTGTTTATTTGTCAAATATTGGCCGTTCAGTTGATTCTTCTGTCATTGACTCACCAGTGGATTAGCATTCGCTCACCTTTTCAAGAGCACCTGGTATCATAAATTCATAGACACAATCACGCCCACTTATATTCAATGGACTTTGCTTTTAACAGAGATTTCTTATGATTATGATTCCTTCCGTGCCCCCTGAATTAGTGTTCATCTCCCATACTGTAAGAGAAAATGACTACCCTGGCGCAATTACGAATGTCGCTGTCAATACGTTCTTCCAGACCTGAAACAGTACATTACAAAGTAGCTGCAATTTATGAAACATATGCCTTGCCGTAAAAGGCGACTATGCTTGTCGTAAAAGGCGACTAACAGGATCGGGTGGTCAGGCTCGCTGACTTGGTTGATGCATGTCATCGTGTCCCAATTGCGTGGATCGATCGATCCTCATGATGTCAGACCCGTGAAGATTCCGGGGTAGAATAGGTCTTCAGCAACCCATGCTTGCCGTAAAAGGCGAGTATACTTGTCATAAAAGGCGACTAACGGGATCGGATGGTCAGGCTCGCCGACTTGGTTGATGCATAGGGAATTTTTTTATTTTTAGAGTCAAGAAGGATATTGTGTAATATAAGATTTCAGAGACTAAATGTTAGTCTACGATCCATATTGCGTGGATCGATGCTCATGATATCAATCACTGGATTGTCTGGTCCAGACTCGATTATTTACAGACCGCAGTCATATAGCTTGGATATTGCGGCGTAAAACTACAAACCTATCAAATTAAACATTTGTAAACTAAATGTTTCATGGAGCCTAAAATACTTCTTCATGTTGTGAGTTTTTGATGAATTTAGAAACATGTGAATATGGTTTAGCACTGGTCTGTTTAGGTTAAACATTATCAAGGGGAGGCGGAGGAAAGTATCTTCTTCGAGACCATTTATTATTAATAAAATACAAACACTGAATATAAATACTGAATTATAGATATTTTCAGCAATATTTCATTTATATTAGAGACATACATGTTTCTACTAATATACTGAATACCCATAAAGGTTATGATACAAACTGTGATACAAGTAGGATGTATCATACAGAAGTTTATTTTTGCACTATTTGCACAGAGACAGAGTGTCACAAATCTCTAATTACAATGTCTACCCCTTTGCGTTAAGTGGCCTTTTATGACATACGGTGACCTCAATGTGTGATGCGTAGATCGCTATTCATGTTTTTAATGAATGCCAGATATAGACCCGATTATATACGTAGTAGCTGTGGTCCTTTGTTTTTCAGAAATCTGTTTCCAGACAATATCGTCAGTGCTGCAATTCAAAGCACATACACGTTATATGTCAAGGAAGAGTTCATCGATGTCGAGAAAGAATCTCCTGAGAAATCCATGCACCAGAATGTAACAAACACGTTCTACAGGGAGAGTAACTCAACACCTCTGGTGGAACCTGACGGGGGAAATACTACAGATCAAAGTAGTTCCATTTGGACAGCCAAAGCCGTCTACAAACCAGGGCTTAATATTCTTGGTATGTAAGGTGAGGTGAGGTGAAATGGGGTTTAACGTCGCGTCCAAGATTATTGCACTTATACAGCGACGTGCATGTGCGTGTGTGTGTTTGTGTGGCTGCTTGTACCAGTCCGGACTGATGCCGATTTATAGTGCTAGCTCATTGAGATACCATGTCGCAGTTTAACATGAATACCCCACTCAGACACAGTATACTGACTCCGAGCCGACCAGTCCTTGTTTAGCCCCTTAATGCCGAGCGCCAGACAGGGTAACAACAAGTACCATCTTTTAACGTCTTTTGGTATGACGCGGCCGGGGATCGAACCCCAGACCTTCCGCTCTCCGGGCGGACCTTGGTATGTGAAGGCTACGCATGTGGCTAACGTATATTGAGTTGTTCATGCATACCTGTTGCAAGCTAAGATTGCAACATTTCAGAATAAACAACAACTGCGGATGTCCTTTTCCGTAAAATTATAATGTGTGCACAGAAATAACATTTTAGTTTTCGCGAACACATTGTGTCATTGATTTTCAGGCATCCATTCATATGGTTTTCATCACTGTTTTGACTTTTAGGCCCAATGGAATCTGATTTGCCAGATAGTAATGAATGATTTTTGTCTGGCGTTGACGTTTAATTTTTACATGTTTATCAATTGTATTTTCGATTTTAGAATTATATATAACTGTTCGTCTTCAATATGATTGGTTAAAAAATGATGTTAAATGGGATTGACATTAAACAGTGTGTGGATATAGATTTTTTCTGAGATTGAAATTAGGAAATGCAACATGAACACATGATTCACTGTATATTCACTTTGATTATTGGTTTCAAAGACAATAATTCTGCGCTTCGGTGTATTCTTGATAACCAGGTCATTCGGTTGCCAGGGAAACACATGACGTCAATCGCAGCTTGATAACATCATTCCATCGCAAATGACTGACAGTTGTTTGTGCATAGATGGAGACTTCTACAGCAAAGTACCTTTTACTTTTAACTTTATATTTTACTTGGCATCTAATATCTAAAAATATGTAAAAGCGAGAAAACCCGTTCCATAATCATAAGAATTCTCTGTTAAAAGCAGAGTTCCTTGTACCATTCCGACTATACCATTAGCATCATGAACATAAGGCTCCTGGAAATCTGCAGTAGAAGTTTTCTTTTTAATGCTTTGCAGGTATATTGGTGTATTGTGCAGTTTTTGGAGCGATGCTTGGTAAACTGGGACATAAAGGTCGGGTCGTCTTCAAGTTCTTTGAGGTACTGAATGAGATCACGATGGGCATGGTGCGCATCGTCATGTGGTAAGTCTTCCAGGACACCCGGGTGCATGTTTCATACATCGTGTAAAAGGAAATATAAAAGTATGCTTGCTCGTAATGACGAAGCTCCGGTTTGATTCCCAAATTGGTATAATATGTGAAGCCTATAATGGTGACCGACGCCGTGATATTGCAGGAGTATTATAAGCGGCGTTAACAAGCACTCACAATAATGCTCAATGACTAATATATACAGATAATTCACGTATCAATGTCTAAACTCCCACCTTTCAATATCTAAACTGACATAAATGGCGTATTGTCTGTAAACTTTGACTTGTAACCATTGTGTGATACTTTCATTAACAGCATAGCAAATGTACTTAGTTTTCCTTCACTCGGACAGCTGTACGAATGAGGGTGTGTATAACCACGTCTTGAATAGTGTTTTAGCTGCATCACAGCATGGGAGTTTGATGGTGGAGGAAACTCTGAAATTATGCAGGGTTAAGACGTTTACCACTTTGGCGAAATGTTGAAATATTTGACACATTTTCGATTTTCAAATAATTAATGCGTTCATGCTAAGGGGGAACTTATATTCCTATATCTGCCGAGGGCACAGGTGGTCATGTCGTCGTAGGTGCCCCTTGAAAGCCATGATCCTGGTTCTAGTCCCTGATTCACCCGATGTTCGATGTCCGAAAATGTGTCAAATATTTCAACATTTCATACACTTAAACGATGAGCTGACACCCTATTCTGTCCCAGGTTCTCGCCCCTTGGCATTCTATCCCTCATCACTGGAAAGATCCTGAGTGTGTCCGACCTCGCTGGGATGGTTTATCGCCTGTGGATGTTCATAGCCACATGCATCACCGGTCTCTTCGTGCAGAGTGTTGTGATTATACCGCTGATATACCTCATCCTGACACGGAAGAACCCTTTCAGGGTGTCACTGGGAATAGTGCATGCTCTTCTGACAGCACTGGGCACCGATTCCAGGTCCGATATTGCAATATATCACAAATTGTTGCTATATGTAATGTCCTTCTAACAGTTAATTTGTTTACATTTGTATTTATAGGACTCATGATAAATGTATCTAAAGCCTGGCTTACATGAACAAATTTACCCCAGGGGGTACCTAACTCCCAGGGCAACATGTACCCTGGTTTAAATCTCATCATATAAACATGTGTTTTAAATTTACCTCGTTTAACTCGTTAGGTGGAGCACATTTCGTACCCCAGTGGGGTATATTTACCAGTAGAGGTAAAATACCCCATGAGGTAAAGTTATGCATGTAAACTAGGCTTAAGTGATAAATATTTAAGAGCATTGTCTTCAGAGTGGCTTTGGGTATTCCCGTAATGCATTCTACCAAGTCACCAGTCGGGATCCCGGATAAGAATAAATAGATCCCAAACATCCTATAATTGTCTGACGTTGCTACAGAGTGGATCGGGAGGTCAGGCGCGGTGTTTTGATTGGTTGTTTGTCATCGTAGCCTCGATGCTCATGATGACACCTTGATATTACTGAAATTTTGCTTAGTACAGCGTTGAACAACAAGAAAACTGACATTCTATCCAGAATTAGATACAAAGCCGACCATCGGATGTTTTTCTTTCCCTGAGCTCCTCTCAAAACGTAACTAAGCCACGTCATATAGAGGGTGGTATTGTGTCAATTATATCGTACCATGAATAATGTATTATGGTGTTCAGTCGTCAATCCCTCAATAGGTCGTAAACTTATAAACAACTTCTTTGATACCTCAAAATCTACGATATGTTGAAATGTAATCCAATTTACAGTGAATGTTATTAAATCACGTTTTGTTTCCCAGTGCTGTGACACTTCCAGTTACCATTGAATGTTGTGAGAAGAACCTTAAGATAGGCAGGACCATCAGTCGGTTCGTGCTGCCTATTGGTGCTACAATCAACATGGATGGAGCTGCCATCTTTCAAGTCGTAACTCCAGTTTACATAGCACAGCTCAGTGGAGTGCATCTATCCATACTTGACATTCTGGCTCTTGGGTAAAATGCGTTTTTTATATACAGTGTAAATAAAAACTACAAACCTTTTCCATAATCTTAAGACATTTCTAAAAGCATGGTCCATTGAACGATTCCGACGAAACATAAGCATTGATACAGTTTGCTGTGTCTGATGCTTTAGGATTGGCCGAGGTGTGGGAAAGACTCACCGTTTTACAAATCACAGCTCAAATCATGTTCACCTCGTCACTATATTTCTCATAGCCTTGGTCATACCTCCTTCCGCTGTACATCTTTCTGGGTAAATAGCAAATCTCAACTAGAGTCAACTGGACGATTCCTACTATGTAAATACAAGCGACATAACCCTTTCATATTTATAAGAAATCTCTGACAAAAACAGAGTCTATTTTACGACTATATAATGAGCATGTATTTATGAATCACTATCAAATAGTGATGAAACCAGGTGTTCGCGAAAAGGTTAGTGTATCCTGCCTCACCGGTGATACCCAACACAAATACCTACAAAGGCAAGTCAATTGTTCACCTGAAACAAAAACACAAGGGAAAACACACGCTGATCAAACAATTACTTTTGAGCATGAGTCGCATGACGCTCTTTGATATCTTAGTAGAATATTACAACACGCTCTGTAGGTGTTCCTCGATTATGCAGTAGCTGGTAATATCTACAGGCTATTATGATACATATCCTAGACCCTCGTTACTATAGTTTCGTTTGGAGCCCAGTACGAATGACACAACGCTTAGAATATCCATCCAATCAAATCGCACCCATGTGCAATAGACATTCAGTTGCACGAATCTCGTGGAGGGATGCAGATGGTGGTGTCACTTGCCAAACAAAGCAATTACCGCGTGCAGGTCAGCAGAAGCAGAAAGTAGGACTGATCAAGAGCGAAACTGAATGTTTTAATTCCAATAGTAGCCCAAAGAAAAATCTCGTCGAGCATGCAAATGAACACATAACCGTATAGAAATCAAATGTTAAATTCATGTTGCTCATTATTCCAGTCTGTCAGCCACGCTTGCTAGTATTGGGGCCGCTGCAGTACCTGGTTCTGTCATAGCTATCATCATGACGTTTCTAATGTCTATGGGACTACCAACAAACGAACTCTACATAATTTTGGCTATGGATTGGTTTCTGTGAGTATTTCCAGCGCAAAATGACGCACCTATTGTCATATTGTTACATGTTGTTATCAATTACATAGGTTTAGGTCTCCATATTCTGCTCTTAAAGGGGCGGTCGGGTAGCCTAATGGCTAAAGCGTTCGCTCGTCACGCCGAAGACCCGGGTTCGATTCCCGACATGGGGACAATGTGTGAAGCCCATTTCTGATGTCCCCCGCCGTGATATTGCTGGAATATTACTCAAAGCGGCGTAAAACTATACTCACTTACTCACTCACTCACTCACTCACTCACTCTGCCCTTAAATGCTTATCAAAGACTTTATGGCATTTATTTTTAAAAAGTACTTCAATTAGATGGTTATGTTTGAAATGTTCTTTCAATTTGGCAGATGTACGAGTAAGTTCATGAACAATATTATCAGCTCTACATGTATAAAGTCAAACGAGATGTATACGAGGTCTTGAAATGACACTGCGGCTTATATATATAATAATAATAAGAAGAAGAAGTAATATAAGTGAAGAAAAACTCAAATCTGACAAGCACTATTTGTTTTTCACACCAAATGAAAACTTCAAATCGGTTGAACTGCAGGCAAAAAAAAGGACGAAACAGCTTATCTTATACGTGACAAGAGATTCAGAAAGTTTAGACGAACAAACAATTATCTAAAGTATCTTTTTCAGGTTATATATTCTCTTCCGGCTGACCAAGAATTTTCACACACATAATTTGAATTCGTAAAAAAATAACTGGTTATGGCCTTACGTGTTTCAGTCTTGTGGACAATGACAGTGGCTATATTCTGGCGTTTCCGTCTTGTGGACAGTTACAAAAGCTACATTCTGGTGTTTCAGTTTTGTGGACAATGACAGTGGCTATATTCTGGCGTTTCCCTCTTGTGGACAGTTACAAAAGCTACATTCTGGTGTTTCAGTCTTGTGGGAGAGTGACAGTAGCTTCATTTTGGTGTTTCACTCTTGTGGGACAGTGACAATACCTACATTCTTGTGTTCCAGGGGGCGACTGAGAACTGTAACTAATGTGAATGGAGACTGCATGGCCGCCGCGCTTCTCCAGCACTTCTTCAATCAAGATGGCAACAATGGTCCGACGTCTGAGAATAATCCTCTCCGAGAAGACGAGGGACAATTAGAGACGATTCAATCTTTTGTATAGAACTTGGAGTTTTGTCTGAGTGTACAGTTTCATTATTCATTGGAAAGTCGTTTCCCCCAATGACGTTATTTTGCCGCTGGAAGACAAGAAGCGTAAATCTGCATTTCCCATCTCATGACGAGGCTAAGATAACATTGATTGTGTTGTCTTCTATCTGAACACGTTTGGGGTCTGAACATATGAAATGAGCTATTTGCTCACATTAAACGTTACCAAGACTCAACATGGAAACATGTTTAGGGGGCGGTCGGGTAGCCTAGTGGTTAAAGCGTTCGCTCGTCACGCCGAAGACCCAGGTTCGATTCCTGACATGGATACAATGTGTGAAGTTCATTTCTGGTGTCCGCCGCCGTGATATTGCTGGAATATTGCTAAAAGCGGCGTAAGATCATACTCGCTCACTCGCTAAACATGTTTTGACCCTAAATTATGGGACAAAGAAAGGTTTGTGTTTTTGTCAGTCTACATCGCTAAAGAAAAGAATAGAGAAACTGTATGTAATGCACACATCATGAAAAGGGGGATTATGATGTCGAAGTGACACGTTTTTATTACTTTATCACAGCAATGCTTGTTCTCTTGTTTTCACGTATAACAATAAAAGGAAGTGAGAAGGGCCACATATTGGTAGTGATATCACTGTGACATGTGCCTGGGCATTTCGGGTCAGAAAAAGGCATGCCTCACGCTTGCCGTAAATTGGTGTTCAGTGTTGTAAGGCGCTGTGACTTGGCTCAGTGTGTGTTATGTTACCGGTGTGGGACGTTCAACTTGCTATCAATCACTGGTTTACGATCAGCTGTGATTCAGCCTTGATACTGCTGCATATGAGTCATGATGCCTCGATTGCATGAATCGTTGCTCGAGCTTCCAGGAAATGGTTTCTTTGGTCCAGACTAGAGTATTCGCAGGTAGTCGTTATATTAACCATTGGTTTCTTTGGTCCAGACTAGAGTATTCGCAGGTAGTCGTTATATTAACCATTGGTTTCTTTGGTCCAGACTAGAGTATTCGCAGGTAGTCGTTATATCAACCATTGGTTTCTTTGGTCCAGACTAGAGTATTCGCAGGTAGTCGTTATATCAACCATTGGTTTCTTTGGTCCAGACTAGAATATTCACAGGTAGTAGTTATATCAACCATTGGTTTCTTTGGTCCAGACTAGAATATTCACAGGTAGTCGTTATATCAACCATTGGTTTCTTTGGTCCAGACTAGAGTATTCGCAGGTAGTCGTTATATCAACCATTGGTTTCTTTGGTCCAGACTAGAATATTCACAGGTAGTCGTTATATCAACCATTTGTTTCTTTGGTCCAGACTAGAGTATTCGCAGGTAGTCGTTATATCAACCATTGGTTTCTTTGGTCCAGACTAGAGTATTCGCAGGTAGTCGTTATATTAACCATTGGTTTCTTTGGTCCAGACTAGAGTATTCGCAGGTACTCGTTATATCAACCATTGGTTTCTTTGGTCCAGACTAGAGTATTCGCAGGTAGTCGTTATAGTAACCATTGGTTTCTTTGGTCCAGACTAGAATATTCACAGGTAGTCGTTATATCAACCATTGGTTTCTTTGGTCCAGACTAGAGTATTCGCAGGTAGTCGTTATATCAACCATTGGTTTCTTTGGTCCAGACAAGAATATTCGCAGGTAGTCGTTATATCAACCATTGGTTTCTTTGGTCCAGACTAGAGTATTCGCAGGTAGTCGTTATATTAACCATTGGTTTCTTTGGTCCAGACTAGAGTATTCGCAGGTAGTCGTTATATCAACCATTGGTTTCTTTGGTCCAGACTAGAGTATTCGCAGGTAGTCGTTATATCAACCATTGGTTTCTTTGGTCCAGACTAGAGTATTCGCAGGTAGTCGTTATATCAACCATTGGTTTCTTTGGTCCAGACTTATTTTTTACACGCCGCGTGATATATTTGAAACATTGCTGACTGTGGTGTAAAACAAATATAGTATGACCAAAGCTACAGTTACCTGAAGATCATCACCAGCAAATACCCCTCCTACAATAACATTGTCTCGGCAAGCCTGACTATAAGGTCTGTCTGTGGCTTCGGGCCTGTCTCACACTCAAAACGTGGCTTATCAAACGTGAGTTGTTTCCTCAGGTAAACAACTTTGTTGGAAATTAGCTTCGTTGCCCCAGCCCTGAACGAATACCCGGTAGGATGTGTACCAGTATTATATAGAAAGCGTCCACATAGCAGAGGGAAGATGGTCTTCTCGTTGACATATTGCGCTTTGGATGTGTCGCAAGTTAAGTTTTCTCAGGGCACCGGTCTGCTGTATGGTTAAACACATCAGACCAAGGCTTTAGTATGAAATGAGAGTTAATATCCTTTCAGACACGGACACATTGGCCATGGCCACCTCATTGTGGAGTCAGCATTTGTTACTTAGATGTCTACTGTCATGCTTGCATTTTGTATGTATTATTTATAGGAGACACGAGTAGAAAGCGCATATGGCCTTGTTTTAACTGACACAGAACATGCTCTTTGCAGGTATCAATGTTTTATATCGAGTAAAGTTTAGCAAGCAGTTACGTGCACATATATTTCTCAAAATCTAACACGATAAATGTAACAAGTGCTAAAATTTATTCTCCATAAAGCACAACAAAATACAAAACAAATACGATAGCAAGCGCTTAGTTCACATTTGTTTTCTAAACCCTCATAAGGGACCCCTACAATATATAACGAAGCCGGAAGGGTTTGGGTGGTGTTGGGAGAGATCAGTTCCCAGAAGTGCTGGGAAGTAATACTTTTTCCTCGGGTTTACCGTAAAACATATATCGTTCATTGACTATGCTGAATGTCCTGAAAAATATTGTGTTGTGAGTTCCAAATGGGTTTTGGGCCTCTAAGTTGACTCATCCCAACCCCACACCCATCTGTTCAGGTGAACAACGGTCAACTGGAGACGAGACAATGATCATATTAAACAGCCTTATTGACGGGATGGGAGCCCGATATGTCCTGTGGGTTCGGGTCGGCATCTCGAGATATTAAACGTTTTTCCATACTCAATTTTCCAGATTTAACTACAGCAAACAAAGGTGTTTGTTAGTGTTCGTTACTGAAGTTGGCAGTTGCTCTGGTATTTGTTGACAAATGCCATGTGAACTTTACTGGGAAAACAATCTGTGAAATGCTGGACATCCTCATTCATAACTTTTTTGGTAATTTGGGGGGTAAGACATTGAGGCGAGAAGTTGGCATCCCCGTGTACACCAACTATGCTCCATTTCTTGTTGATCTATTTCGTTATGCATAATATGTATCAGAATTTCTGCTCAGATTGGCAAAATCAAAACAGGGGAATATGGCAGAGTAGTTTAATTCAACATATAAACAAGCTTCAGGTATATCGATGGTCTGATCTCGTTCGATAACGATGAAATAGCCAATTCTATACCACTGATTTACTCACAGGATAAAAAACAAAACAGACCAGTAACACAAGCTCATCTGTTTCATATTTAGTTAATGCATAAACACTCAGAGTAACAAAAGACTCTCCACAAGGCTGTATGACAAGAGGGATGACTCCAATTTTCCAATGGTCTACTTCCCCATTATATATTCAAGCAGCTCTTCTACATTTCACTATTTTTGAGGTAATGTGAGCACGCTCTTTCTTCGAAGATTTAAAAGAGCGGCGTTCGACTCTTTCTCAAAAGTTGTTTGATCATGGTTATGAAGACCTCAGTAAAGCTTTCAAAATGTCTTATAGTAAATATGGGGAGGACATTTCCAAATTTGACGCACCAGCCACAAACATAATTTTGACCTGTGTCATATGTTCCCGTGTTTTTCACTTGCATGTGCCTGTGTTGGTGCCACCGGTGGGGCAGGCAGGATACGCTCACCTTTTTATATCACTACTCAATAGTGATTCATAAGAAAACAAGCTTTATTCCAAAGCTCATAAAAATCCGTACAAAGAGAAATGTACCACCAAATCCCTGTCTCAAAGACCATAATCCTTAATACAATCAAGGAAGGACTTTCTTTATGTTCACAGAAAGCATTTGACACAATGTGAAATTAACACCAAAGTGGATTCTCAAAAACTCGAAAGATTTGCTTGATTTTTTTAAATCTCAGAAAAGAACCAAGTTCCATTCTGTCAAAACAATTGATTTTTCAACTTTGTACACCACTATCCCACATGACAAACTTAAGGAAAAAAGTCATTCCTTGATCCATGGGGCTTTGTTACAAAGCGTGGTGACTGCAGATACAGTTACGTATCTATTTTCAGAGGTTCTGGACAATTTCTAAAAAATGAAAGCAAAGTTTATTGAGAAGTTATCTGAAGTTTACTGAGAAAACAATAGTGAAATGCTGGACTTCCACATTGATAAGATCTACGTATAATTTGGGATAAGACATTGAAGCAAGAAGTAGGCATCCCCTTGGGCACCAATTGTGTTCTCCTTTTGACGGATCTGTTTCCTTATGCATATGATTGGTAAAGTCAAAACAAGGTAATTTGGCCAAGACTTTTAACACAAGCTTCAGATATATCGATGATCTGATATCGTTCAATAACAATCAAAGAGCCAATTCCCTTCAATTGATTTACCCACCTGAACTAGAAATAAAGGAGACCAGTGTGACAGCCTCATCTGTTTTACATTAAAGATCTATGCGAGCAGATTCAGAGTGGCAAAACACTCTCCACAAGACTGTATGGATGGTGGTTATACGACTCTTTCTCAGAAGTTGTTTGATCAAGGTTACAACATTCAAGGCCACAGTGGTACTTTCAGAACGTTTCATGGAAGACGTGCGGAGGACATTTCCAAATTTGACACAGTGACAAAAATTATGTCCGTTGCATTCCCTATTTTAACTTGTATCATATGTTCCCGTATTTTTCGGGAAAACAATTGACTTGCCTTTGCATGCGTTTGTGACGGCTGCCACCGGGGCAGGACACGCTCACCTGTTCGTGAACACCTGGTATCATTACTATTTGATAGTGATTCATAAACACATGCTCATGATATAGTCGGAATCTTGCAATCATACTCTCGACTGTGCTTTATGCAGAGATTTCTATTGGATATGGAAAGGGTTTTGTCGCTTTATTCAAGAAATTATTTATAATCAATTTTTATGAATATGGAAATGGTTTTGCCCCCTATATATACAAAAGGAAACCGAATATATTTCATTATTGTTTGGTCCCAATATTTGTAACAGTCATGAAAGATATAATTACGGGAAGAATTATGTTTTCTCGAGATGATTTTATCAGTCATTCGTGACGAAATCTCACGTGCCATGCATGGTATGCCCGTGCAGCATGCTACCCTCTTGTATCTCTAAAAGCAGTATATCCAAACGTTAAAATTGCTTTCTTAAGCTTGGATTTTACAGTTATTCCATGGCATTGTGTGACCATGGCACGAAGGCGATTATCAAACGCCACAAGGTGGCAAATAATCGGCATGCATTACGAAGGAATGTCTTGTAATGCCATTGGTCGGAATTTGGGGAATCATCACACTGTCGTAAGCCGTTTAGTGGAGAAACATGCTCAGACAGGTGATGTACAGGACCGTCCGAAATCCGGAAGACCTCCTGTGATGACACATCGCGAAGACAGGGACCTTCTTCGTCTCCTACGCCGAAAACCCTTTTAACAAGTACTCGTCTGAAACAGCTGTCGTTGCCCAATCGTCGTTTCAGCACAAGAACCGTCAGGAACCGTCTGAAAGCAGCAGGACTGAGGCTAGACGAATCATAAAGCATCCCTTGTTGAGAGATCACCACAAAGCTATTCGTTTAGCATGGTGTGTTGCGCGACAGAACTGGATTCTGAGAACTTGGGAGACGGATCCATTGGTCAGAAGAAAGTCGCTTTGTGCTCCACTTCACTGAAGTTTGGAAGCACAGGAACACGGTCTACACCACCAGGAACATTAAACTGATTGTTGCATACGGCGGAGGCTCCCTGTACAAGATTTACGCCAAATGGAAGCAGCATTGAATCAGGAGTGGTTGTTGTTGACCAATCAACAAATCCAACGTCTGACTGGGGGCATGAGACGTAGGGTAGAGTGCGTCAACCGGGCACGTGGCGGTTATACCCGCTACTGATCTGTTTCACGTGTCATGTCAAGTAGAGATATTTTCACATGAAATATCAAACGTAACTCGTTTACTTAATCCTGCAGCTCCATACTTTTTTAAGTATTGTTTAAGGTCAAAAACAGTACCTGTGTTACTATGATGTTTTCGCCAAGCTCCTGTGGTCAGTCATACCATGCCATGATTTTTGCCATTTGTCATAGTTCAGAAACAGGGGTGTGCTCAACTTTTTTCTTTGTGTTTATTTGACCAGCTTACAAAACATATTTATGGTGACACGGAAATCGTATTGGAAAACGACGCATTGGCTTAATGCATATTTAAGTCCAAGAATGTCATATTGTAGTCAACACAGGTCTACAAGATCTAGACTGATGTTTAGGACCTATGTTTAAAACATGTTTAGATTTGTGGGATGTTTTGTTCAGGTGGTTAAGTCGGTGAGCTTTGTTGTTAAAATGTTGGCTAATTAGGACGAACTTCTATGAATAATATGTTTTGACACGCCATTAACGTATGGTATGAAATTGTTGATAGCTTGATGACCATGCTTGCCGTAAAAGGCGACTATGCTTGTCGTAAGAGGCGACTAACGGGATCGGGTGGTCAGGCTCGCTGACTTGGTTGATGCATGCCAATTGCGTTGATCGATGCTCATGATATCAATCACTGGATTGTCTGGTCCAGACTCGATTATTTACAGACCGTCGCCATATAGCTGATGTATTGTATAGGCGTAAAACAACAAACCAAACCAAAAACCAATTGCGCGGATCGATGCTCATGGTGTCAATCACTGGATTGTCTGGTCCAGACGCGATTATTTACAGGCCGCCGTCATATAGCTGGAATATTGCTGAGTGCGGCGTAAAATAACAATCGAACGAAGGAACGAGATAGGAAATTCAGATTTACGCTTTTTGTCCTTCGGGTGCAACATAAGCTCAAAGGTGGAAACTACTTTCAGTGAATAGTGAAACGGTACACACAGACAAAATTCCAAATTCTATACAAATGATTGAACTTCCTCTAATTGAATGGCCTCTTCTTGTCCCTCGTCTTCTCGGGTTGGATTATTGTCTGATGCCGCGCCATTGTTTGTATTTTGATGAAAGAAGTGCTGGAGAAGCGCGGCGGCCATGCAGTCTCCATTCACATTAGTTATAGTTCTCAGTCGCCCCCTGGAACACAAGAATGTAGCTGTTGTCACTGTCCACAAGACTGAAATGCCAGAATGTAGCTGTTGTCACAGTCCACAGGACTGAAACACAAGAATGTAGCTATTGTCACTGTCGACAAGACTGAAACACCAGAATGTAGCTGTTGTCACTGTCCACAAGACTGAAACACCAGAATGTAACTATTGTCCCTGTCCACAAGAATGAAACACCAGAATGTAACCATTGTCACTGTCAACAAGACTGAAACACCAGAATGTAACCATTGTCACTGTCCACAAGACTGAAACACCAGAATGTAACTGTTGTCACTGTCCACAAGACTGAAACACCAGACTGTAACTATTGTCACTGTCCACAAGACTGAAACACCAGAATGTAACTATTGTCCCTGTCCACAAGAATAAACACCAGAATGTAACTATTGTCAGTGTACACAATTTGTAGTTTGCACTTGGCGAGGAAAACAAATAGTGGTTGTCAGATTTGAGTCTTTTTCATTTTTTAATCCTTTTAGTGTGGGCAAAATCCAGAAACCTATTAATAATGAACCTTGACGTTAACTTGAGCATATACATGTAGGAATACATCAATATTTTTAGTTGATATTTGATTAATATCAATATAAGCCAACTTACCCTAGAACAGGGTACGTGTGTATTATAAAGATATGTTCGTCGAAAGAAGGTGCTTGTATGTGTCCATCATTTTTACAGAGGTTTTACAAATTAAAGGGCATATTTATCCCCTCCGGGCATTTCAAGATCCCGTCTTCATCTCGTGTGAGTTTATACATGTACAGCTGATAATAATGCTTGATGATCTCCACTGGCGCATCTGCCATATTGCAAGACAATTGAAACATACCCATCGAGTTGAAGTACTTTTAAAATATATGCTTTGATTCGCATTTAGAAGTTAGCAGAACATGACGACATGAAACTATCTTATGGATAACAAAATGTAACCATATGAGAAAAGGTGCGTCATTCTGCGCTGAAATACTCACAGACACCAGTCCATAGCCAAAATTATGTAGAGTTCGTTTGTTGGTAGTCCCATAGAGGTTAGAAACGTCATGATGATAACTATTGAAGCATTAGGTATACCAGCAGTCCCAATACTAGCAAGCGTGGCTGACAGACTGGAATAATAATGTTAATACCATTCTGAGCAATATGAAGTTTTTGATTTCTGGACTGTTAAGTTGCAATTTGCATATTAACGGCCGATCCTTAACAGCCCGACAAGGCTACCATTGGAAATCAAATATCCAAGTTCACGTTTTTTTCTATCCTACTTTCTGCTTCTGCATTCAAATTCAGCTTAATCCTCAATTATTTTATTTAAACAACAAAATAGGGCCGACTCTCTGCCATTGCTGTGTTTGGGAAGTGACGCTTTTAAAGAACGTCATGCGATTCTTCAAAAGTAAAATGTTTGATCAAGATTGATAAGGAACATTCAAAGCCTTGGTAAAGCTTTCAAAAAGTTGTATGGTGGAGGACATTTCCAGATCTGACGTATCAGTCAAACACATGCTCATTTTATGGTCGGAATCATAAATCGACTGAGCTTCTTGCAGAGACATATTACGGTGATAGAAAGTCAGTGTGGGTTTTGTCGCTTTTATTTATCCAGAACGAAGTACAATGGAGGGTAAAAATCAAAGGCTATGAGAAAAGAACCATGGACCAGGTGGGCCTGTTGGAAACCACTTATGCTTTGAGTAGTGATTTGTATAACGGTGTGACTCTTTCCAATACACCAGCCAATTATAAAGCACGCTGCAAACTGGATCAATGATTGTGATATCATACAACGGGCTATGCTTTCAGTAAATATTTCGTATTATTATGGAAAATGTTTTAAAGTTTTATTTACACTGTGTATATAGAAACGCATTTTACCCAAGAGCCATAACGTCAAGTATGGATAGATGGACTCCGCTGAGCTGAGCTATGTAAACTGGAGTCACGACTTGAAAGATGGCAGCTCCATCCATGTTGATTGTAGCACCGATGGGCAGCACAAACCGACTGATGGTCCTGTCTATCTTAAGGTTCTTCTCACAACATTCAATGGTAACTGGAAGTGTTGCAGCGCTGTGAAACATAACTTGATGCATTAATATAGTATTTTATATACATTGTGGTTTCCGAGAAGATGTTTAAGATTTTCCGGTCTATCAGTGAGGGATTGACGGATAAAAAAACATAATTTATGGGAAGAAGGAATCAACAGAATACCTGATACCATCCTATATACGCAGTAGCTTAGCAATGAACCCCGTACCCAACAATATTTTACTAACATCACGTTCATCTGTAGACAATTCATTGATTGACATCATAAGGATATAATGACATGCGATCAACCACAACATCGATCCTGACCACCCAAACAACTTGGTAGCAACGTCAGACAAGTTGTTGGGAGACCTACTGGTGACTGGGTAGAATGAATTACACGAATAACCAAAGCAACTCTCAGAACAATGGCCTCACATATTTACTACTTGCATGCCTTTATCATACTCCTATGTAAATATTTGTAACTGCTCGAAAGGTTTCATCACATGTACGTAGCTATAGTTAGCGATTGATTGCAATGACGGACCTAGAATTGGTGCCCAGTGCGGTCAGAAGAGCTTGCACTATTCCCAGTGACACCCTGAAAGGGTTCTTCCGTGTCAGGATGAGGTATATCAGCGGTATGATCACAACAGCCTGCACGAAGAGACCGGTGAGCAATGTAGCTAAGAATATCCCGAGGTGATGGACCATCCCAGCGAGGTTGGAAACACTCAGGATCTTTCCAGTGATGAGGGACAGGACGCCAATGGGCGAGAACCTAGAACAAAACATAGTATTAGCTGCTCGTTTTAAGTGTATAAAATATTTTTTTTAATCTTTTCGATTTTCAAAAATTAAGTATGGTGTTCATGATTATAGGAGAAATTCGTATTCGTTTATCTTTCGGGGGCAATGTCGTCATAGGCAGCACAAGAAAGGTATGCTCGTGGTTCGATTCCCAGATTCACCCATTTATGTGGGTGGGTGGGAATCGTGGATGGTAAATATCTAAATCATACATAGCTTCGGACTTTCCTTCCACACCAAATTGTCACGCGTTGACATAGCTATATTACTGTTCAACGCTTGGTTATACACTCATTGTGTATCTGTCAGAGTAAATGAAAAGTATATTTGCTACGCTATTATTGAAATTATCACATAATGGTTTCAAGTAAAAAATTACAAAAAAAGGTAGTTTAGACATTATCACGACAGTTCAGACATTGGCAAGTGAATTAACGGCTGGATATATCACGGGCATTATTTTAGCGAGTGAGTGAGTGTGTTTAACGACGCTACACAGCAATATCAAGGCGGCAGACACTAGAAAAGGGCTTCACACAATATACAAATGTGGGAATCAAACCCGGGCCACGGAAGATGTTTCATGTAAATAGCTAAAATAGTACTTGAGAAACATCATTTATCAATGTTTAAGTCTTTCGCAGAATGTTCATAATTTAACAGGGATTGAGGTGAAGCTTACTGCTTGAAGAGTTAGCTCGCCTAGTTGAAGGCCAGGGTTTGTATCCCACATTGCCGCACCATGGCCAGTATAGATGTTGTTTGTTTGTTTGTTTGTTTGTTTGTTTAACGCCGCACTCAGCAATATTCCATCTATATGACGGCGGTCTGTAAATAATCGAGTCTGGACCAGACAATCCAGTTATTAATATCATGAGCATCGATCCACGCAATTGGGATACGATGACATGCATCAACCAAGTCAGCGAGCCTGACCACCCGATCCTGTTAGTCGCCTCTTACGACAAGCATAATCGCCTTTTACGACAAGTTTGGTTTGCTGAAGACCTATTCTATCCCACGGGTCGGCCAGTATAGAATATTGCTGAAAGTACAGTGCATGTGCTCAGAATAGCACTGATGATCAATGTCAATATATTCATATCGCAGTTGGATAATTCTTTTCGCTTTTATGGTAATTTGAGTAATTCACACAAAATGATCAGTTTTGAGGGGAATTAAAAAAATATTTGATTACAAAATAAATTATAAGTAAACAAGATTTAAAAGCCTTTTACGTAATTTAATTATATTAAATATTGTTCAAATTATCCCAAATACAGTAACTTGTCTGGTCAGGGGACTGTGACATCGCTTTTATGTTGTTATATTTTCCTGTTAAGTTTTACAATTCAGATGGCTCATTCATATTCTTTTTATAATACCTCGTGAATCACCAAGTGCTACAGAATATCTGTTATTATAATTATATGATTGCCCCTTTTTTTTAATTTGGCTATTTTATTTTTGGCCAGATGACGTCATGAAAAACAGAACCAATTTTGAGAATGATCCAGTTATCGACCAAAAATGAACTTTAAACGAATTGGTTGTTTTAAACATACTTCACCAATCAATGAATGAAACTGCAGGCGGGTGTCCTGAAAGACTTACCACATGACGATGCGCACCATGCCCATCGTGATCTCATTCAGTTCCTCAAAGAACTTGAAGACGACCCAATTATTGTGTCCCAGTTTACCAAGTATTGCCCCAAATACTGCACAATACACCAACAATCCTGTAAAACATTCAAAAGAAATACCATAGAAATTACTGCAGATTGACAGCTGATATTTGCTGTCGATGCTCATGGAAAAGTTGGAAACGTACAATGGACTACTTTTAACAGAGATCTCGTACGATTATGGAAAGGATTTTGTCACTATAATTTAGCATTAGGTTTCAAATGAAATAAAAATTTAAAAGTAATTGGAACTCTCCTTTGCACAAACAGCTCTGAGTCCTTTGCAATGCCATGTGCTATCAAGTGATTGACATCGTATGTTTCCCTAGCAACCAAATCGCCTTGTTAGCAATAATACTTGGAAGTGCTGAGTTATTGTCTTTGAAACCAATAATCAAACTGAATATACAGTGAATCCCATATTCATCATCCTAAGTTGAATGCTTCGTTTTTCAAATTTCAAGTTTATAAAAAATCTATATCCAAACACTGCAAAACAGATTCCATTGAGATTAAAAGGCCAAACAACGATGAAATTTAAAACCATATGAATTGAGCACTGAAAATCAATTACGCCAGATCTGCACGAAAAAATAAATAACCATGCAGTGGACATATTATAATATTGGACAATCGGACGTCCCACATAATGTTACCAATGACCACAGCATTTACATACCAAGAACATTGAGGCCGGGTTTGTTGACGGTTTTGGCTGTCCATATGGACCTTTGTTCTGTAGTATTTCCCCCATCAGGTTGTACCAGAGGAGTTGAGTTACCGTCCCTGTAGGACGTGTTTGTTACATTCTGGTGCACATATTCATCTAGGGATTCCCTCTTGATATCGATGTACTTTTCCTTGACATATAGCGTGTATGTACTTTGAATTGCAGCACTCACGATATTATCTGGAAACAGATTTCTGAAAGAACAAAGGACCACAGCGAGTGAGAGAATGGTGTACGTCACAGTCATAAAAATACCATCTATATAATGTAAACGGTCGATTCTATACCAGGCAAGCCAGAGATTAAAATATGAATAACAATCTACAATGAGATCACACATTTTGTCCCCGTCTTTAATTAAAGAGAGCCTAAGGGCAAAGGTCGTCTAATTCGGATGACTCTGGTTATGTGTCAGTAATAAACTTTTATATTGATACACCCTAGAGTGGGTATCAGAGTAGCCTTTCTTCCTGAGTATGCATTTAGTATATTAATAGATAAATGTATGATTCTATAATAGCTATAAACAGATTGGTACATACAGATGTTTAGAAAAGTATCAGGACGTTGCATTATTTCATAATGCATTTCGTGCTCGTGGGTTTCACCGAAGTGGTAAACGTCTGAGACATGCATCACTTTGGGCTTTCCTCCCACCATTAAGCTGACACGCCGTGATATAACTGGAATACTGTTAAAAGCGGCGTTAAACCCAACTCACTCACTCACTCATAATGCATTGTCCTTTCTCATATTCATGGAAGAGTTTTATTATAATCATATTGGGATTATGGCAGTATTCATTGATGTGATAATGCAGTAATAGATCATCGTATGCATATCATAATAATAAGTAGCAGTCATATAATTCATATATGATAATTACCGATCAATGTTTAACCATCTCTCCCTTGTTCACCTCAACCTTAACAGAAGATATCTAAACCATATTAAATGTTTCTATATTTTTTTCTCATTTATAGCACAAAGAAATTTGCACATAAAATATATCTTGAACTACTTAGCGATATTCGTAAGTGCTCTCAGGAAGGCATTTTCTCCAACAGTATGGTCGATTCACACAAACCCATATGACGTTGAAGATAAACAACTTCTATAATCAATGTTATTTACTAAAATATGTCTTTCGGATAATGCTACTTTTGTGCATTTCAATAGGTTTCAACCAATATTGAATGCTCAGCACAGAGCATTTATACAATGCATAGACAGGATGTCTTCCAAATTAACCATTCGCCAGAGCATTAAGTGTCTGGAGACCAAGACAAATTGACTTGGCTTTGCATGTGCCACCGATGGGACAGGAAACGGTCACCTTTTCGCGAACTGTATGGTTATGATAGAGTCAGAGTTGTACAGTGGGCTCTTATGATAATGGAAATGGTTTTGTAGCGTGTATTCACAACATAAACCTTCGAACCATATAGAGTTAAGGAACCTTTATTTGAAAAAACATAAGGCTTGACTGTTCCAATCTTGCTCAGAATTGTGATAACCTCCATTCACCATAATTAATCATAATTACCCAAATTTTCCGCATTACAATAAAAGCGACAAAAACCGTTGGAAACGTCAACGTCAGCGAATAACCAGTCTCAATTATCCACAAAAACAGATTTTATTGGACATAAAAGGTAAACTTGAGGTGAAAATTAAAACCATATGAATGCATGACTGCTGATCGATGACACAAGGTGTTCGCGAAACATTAAATGATACTGCAGTGCACATATTAAGACATTACAGAAACGGACATCCCAAAAGTTGTTTGTTGTTTCCAAACGATTACGACCATATTACGACCACATCATAAGCATTTGTTTATGAATCACTAGTGAATCAACTAGTGATGATAGTCCTGCCCAAACCGCATCAATCACAAACACATGCAAAAGCAAGTCAATAACTGAGGTGTAAACAGAATGGATAATATTTGACAATGAACACATGACTATTTTGGTTAATGTAAAATTTGAGTGTAGGGCCGTAACTATTTGAAGTAATGTCACAGATCTCTTGAGGCTGAAAGTTAAGGAAACATTAGTCACGTCAATCGCCAAAAAGGCATGACTAAATAAAGTATTCCTGTTACCGTCATCACTTACTTGATGAGATCAAGAAACATGTCAACTGTCGAAGGAGCATGAAAATCCTGAGACTGCGTGTCAGATGACGTCACTGTGCCATGTATTCCTGGCTTGATAATGAACACCAGGGCAAAGCCAACACAGATGGCTATGACGGTTGTGGATACATAGTAGGCGATGGTGAACAGACCCATCTTTCCTGATGATCTGGTGTCCATGCTTGCAATTCCTATTTAAACAATATAACACTCGTAATGGAATAACACATTCATGTTCTGTCGTGAAAGTGGCTAACGTGGCTAGTATTCTATGGAACCTTGGAAGGGCCATATTGGCAAAATATGATCAAGCTTTACTATGAAGTATGGTCACACCACAACGTATGACGTAACAAACATCTTCGATTTCATGGTACAACGTCTTTTAGTAGATGGTGTATGGTAATAGCAATTCAGGGCCTAACTATCATCTCACAGATAAGATCGTGGACGTTATATTTCGATTCTATTATTGCTATTGTTTATGTCGGTAATATCCGGTTTGCTCATGAAATAAGAGACATGTTTTCCATACAACATACACATATCGTAAAGAAATTGCAAACATATTTAAAAAACACCAAAACAGAAACGTCTGAAGAGGTAATGTTTACATCTTGCGTCTGTGTGACATTGATTTTGCCATCCAATGTAGAAGCATGTCCACAGTTATTTTCGCTCATTATCGATGTTATTGAAATTGAAATAGAAGTTCATGCCATGGACGGAAAATAGTACACGTCGACCCACTGGAAGCTGCCTTAAACATTGAGTTATACTGACGTCATCACACGGAGGATTTGACCTTTGCCAGTCGATACATACTGCACAAAACCTTTTGAAGACCAAACAAACAACGTCATAGATAAAGCCCAATGTACCCTTTGTGGATTCATTTATGTTGGAGAGACAACAGAAATTATCGACACGGGTCAGCCAACATAGATCGGGCATCAACAGAAATGATTCTAACTGTGTCTACCAACATTTCAGTTCTGAAAATCACTCAGTCCTTGAAAGTTAGGATTTTGGAGAAAATATACCATCCCTCTTATAGCCTTAAATGAAGTCGACATTATGGAATGTACAGAGAAAATCATTGGATTCGACCGTTGTGTACAGCATGCTTGTGGATATAAAAAATAAAAGACGTTGGCAGCCTTTCGCATCAATTTTAAAGAACTGCCAACGTCAAAGTATTGTGTCTATTTCCTGCATCCGAGAGACGTCGACGCAGCCATGGTCACAAGAAAGGACGAAGGCCAAATGATACCATTCATTTGGAATTTTTGTTGCCTCTCCTTTAGAAACCATTGTGACTGCACAAAGTAAGAAGATGACTATACTCTGTGTCATTGAAAGAAATTAAATTATTACAGCAACTTTGGCTGTTGGGGAGGTCGTACAAACAGTAAGAGCCCACAGTATGGACTAGAGATTATAATTCTTGATATCGCTTAGCCGAACCAGAAACAGAATTAGACAGAACCCATGTTCTTGAATTCAAAATTTGCAAAAAAAAAGGGAATTGATGCCTTAAATTTTCTCTGACAAAAATCCGTTTCCCCAACGGATTTCAAATTTCACAAACCACCAACAATTTCATTTTCCTTTACGAACACAATTTCATCCAGGTTGTTCAACTAAAGGAATGTGTTGCAGAACGTGGATTTAGCAGCTCATCGTGTAAAATCCACTACTTGTGCTTGTCAAGACTCACAAAACTTGTGTCAACCAGTAGGTTATATATCATCAGGTGACTTCTCTATTAATGACAATAACTACCTTCGTCAGTTATTTAAAAATAGACCAAAATACCGTGAGCAATCTCCTACCAATTGGGATCACAACTTTAAAATCATCATGGATACTGTGGAAGAATTTGCCAATAAATGGGACAAAAGAGGAGAGGAACCTGTTCAATGTCTTTCAGAGTGGGCTAAAAAATTGCGTGATGTTGTCATTGATAGAATGCACAATCTTAAAAAGAGGAAGCGGTTTTGGAATAAACCCATTCTGTCCTCTCTGCCCTACATGAAACGTTTGTACTTGTTCCCACAGAGAAGGTCTCAGATAGCATAACCATTATACGTAAGCATCCTTACATTGATTGTTTGATCAAAGAACTTGGTATAAATGCCATATCAAATAATGCCACACATAAGGCCAGTATGTTAATTTAGGAAGCAATCTGCCTGAACATGCAGCAGTGCTATGAACCTATGTCTTGACTCTCAACCATGAAGACATGTCCATTCCTCTTTTGAACTAGATTGAAAAGCTCCATAAAAATCCGTGCAAAGAGAGTTATATTGCTAGGTCCAGCAAATGTACCACCAAATCCTTGTCTCAAAGACTAACAGTAATCCTTAATACATCCAAGTAAGGACCTTCTTTATATTCACAGGAAGTATTTGAGTGGCATTAATAACACGTGGATTCTCAAATACTCAAAGGATTTGCTTGACTTTTTGCAATCTCAGAAAAGAGCTAAGTTCCATTCTGTCAAAACGTAAGGTTTTTCAACTTTGTACACCACAAAGGACAAACTTCATTCCATTGATCCACGCAGCTTTTGTTACAAAACGTGATGACCACAGATACAGTTGCGCTTCTAAATTCAAAGGCTCGGGACAATTTGTACAAAATAAAAGCAAATGCCATCTGAAGTTTGGTGAGAAAGCAATATGTGAAATGCTTGACTTCCTCACTGATTAAAGCATGGGCACCAATTGTGCACCCCTTCTTGCGAATCTGTTTCATTGTGCATATGAATCGGAATTTCTGCTCGGATTGGCAAAGTCAAAACAAGGTAATTTGGCCAAGACGTTTAACTTTAGCTTCAGGTATATAGATGATCTGATATCGTTCAATAACAATCAAATAGCCAATTCACTTCCACTGATTTACCCACCTGAACTAGACATAAAGGAGACCAGTGGGACCGCCTCATCTGTTTCATATCCAGATCTATGCATAAACATTCAGAGTGACTCTCCACAAAACTGTATGACAAGAGGAGTGACTTCAACTTTCCAATAGTCAACTTTCCCGTCATGTCGAGAAATATTCCAGCCCTTAGTATTTACATTTCACAACTTTTGAGATACAATCGAGCATGCTCTTTCCACCATGTTTCAAAGATCGTCATACGACTCTTGCTCAGAAGTTGATGAAGGCTACAATATTCAAGGTCTCGTTGAAGCTTTCAAAAAGTTTTATGGTATACTTCTAAATTTGACGCATCAGTGACAAAAATGATGTCAGATACAATTCCCTATTTTGACCACATGTTCCCGTGTTTTTTTCAGGTGAACAATTGACAATTGACATGATGGGGGACACAGGTGGGGCAGGATATGCACACCTTTTCGCGAACATTGTACGAGTATCAGCACTATTTAATAGCGATTCATAAACACATGCTCATGATATAGTCGGAATCATACCACGATATTTCTGTTGAATATGGAAAGGGCTTTGTCACTTTATTTATTTGAATAAGTTTTGTCTTACGCCGCTTTTAGCAATGTTCCAGCAATACCATGACGGAAGTCACAAGTAATAGAGTTCACATATTATACCAATATGGGGAATCAAACCTGGGCTTTCGGCGTGACGAGCGAACACTATAACCACTAGGCTAACCCACGGCATGTTCACTTGGGCTACATTCGTCACTATGGTTATTTGAATGGCATTGGACGAGTAGAATGTCACTAAACTTTGTGAATTTCCTTTTTCGGGCAGTGACGAACATTACTGCAAATATATCGACACTGACCCCCAGACCCCGAGTTAGTCACTTATCGAAAAGGGTGTTTCAGGTGTCAAAAATGCACTTTCTAATAAATGATGGGCAGCGGATTTGATCTCACAAAGAACCAAAATGGAATTGTGAATATATGGCCTGTGTGCAGTGCAGATTAACTAAAGTCTGAGTAACAGAAACTGAATTTGTTTTAATTGTGACATTCCCACTGAATTAAATTATTGAACAGACAAATGAAGCAGAATAATAGTGTATATAGTGTATTGTGGATGTAAAATACAAGAAAAACGACTGTTGATGAATGAAACTATAACTTATGAAACGGACAACCACTGTGTATTGATCCGGGTTGAGTTAAAAGTGATGCATTACGAGTTTTATTAAATGTTTGCAAGTACACCTCTTTCAATTTAGCTTATTTCTATTACTTTGTAAGCATCATAGAGACAGGGAACTGGCTCTTGTATAATTTTAAATGAATATTGTATTCGATCTTGAGTGTTCAGAAAGGGACGCAACACCTCAATCTCAATCACCAACTCACAACTCACCCATCCGGACCTAAACCATACTAACATTTCGGTTCAACACAAGTCCCGTCCAGACACATTCCACTGTACCTGTGATCATGCTTGCAACAATCAGCGGAAGTATGAGCATCTTCAGCATCCTCATGAATGTATCCCCCGGGAGACTGATGAGTAGGATGGTGTCCGTGGAGAGATGAAGCTGTCGACACATCAACCCGATGGTCACTCCCATCACTGCAGAGATGACAGTGAGGATCAGCATCAGGTTGGCCTTCATACAGGTTCTTAAGGCCATCTTGAAAAATAAATAATCATTGAAACATTTTGTAGGAATCTTCATGAATACTTCATGTAAGCGTAACTATGTTTATCACTTTATGTAATCAAATCTAAATCTGCCAAATATACCATACACCAAATAACCTTTTATTTTTACCAAAACCCATTGCAGCGATGAAAAACCTAATGGTATCTACCAATTATACAGAGATGTATGTTTTGCACATATTATTTAAAATAACAACAACGACATATCCAGTTGTTTGTGTTTGTTGTTTAGCTCCGTACTCAGCAATATTCCAATATGACGGTGGACTATAAAGAATCAAGTCTGGACAAGACTATTCAATGAAAGACACCATAAGTATTGATCTACGCAACTGGGATACGATGACATGCATCAACCAAGTCTGACCACCCGACCCCGTTAGTTGCCTCTTACGACAAGCATATCCACGGGACAGAGGCTATTGTTACCATGTGACCACAATCAGTGAAACCTAGTCAATAATACAACGACAAAGCCATATTTTTTATACTACCCATCTGGTAGAATGTGTATACAAACTTAGGGGACAGAAGTGAACGATCGCGTTTGTGCCCATAATTTTTTTCCTTTGCTTTGAATTGACAATGTGAAGAGAAAAACTATGTTTGATCATATACAGAACGTGCCCACCTGTTTGAAATAAATGACTACATGAACATAAAATAACATGTAACAGTATCAATGGTAACACCTGCCTGTATTAACCTATTCATATTGTCTTAATCATTGATAATGACAATCTTCACATCAACAATACGATAGTTGAATCAGTTTGTGTTGAAGAAATTAATTTATATCATACTAAATTGTCAGAGCCAAATAGTTACAAAACTGAGATTCTGTATTGAACTCCTGTAAACACTAATTACTTGAACTCGAAAATGATAGAAATATCTTCAGCACAAATGCATCTTGTTTTTGTTATACCTAAACAGACTATACCGATATCGCAGACATAGAGATGTTCGGACCGCAATATCCTTAAAAATCGATGATGTGCACAAATAAATTTTTAGTATCAGCAGTTATCACGGCTGTGCTGCTGCTGCTGATGATGATGAAGAAGAAGAAGTAGTTTATTAGGTATTAAAGGCCGCATGGCCAAGAGTACAATACATGATATAACCTTTTGCACATAGACAGGTGGAACAAATGTTATACTATCTAAATACAATATTATGATACATCATACAGGCAGCTTTATTTTCAAATCTATAGCAATGTTTTTAATTAAGACTTTTGGTTGCTGCTAATTGATTACATTTTGCTCATGATGGATACTTGTAAATGTAGCATGGGATGTTGAGCTTTCTGTTATCCATATAAAACGGACAAACTAATAGACAAATGGTATTCATCTTTAATTATGTCATGATTACATTTATTGCACTTCAGTAAATCATTATTTACTTTGTCATTGTAACGAAAATGTTGATTATCCAACTTATGGCTCAGACATCGGAATTTAAATAATAATAACGGGTAGGGTCTTTATTTTGATATAACCTCATATTTATATTTCTGTGGTTCGAGTACCGACTTATATGTAGAATAATGGTTTAGAAATGAAGAAATAATTTTAGCATGGCAATTCTGAATCTCTATGTCGTTACATCTTTGCTTGAAACATTGTATAAAATTTGATATATTGCCGCAATCCAGTGCGATTTAAACATACGTAAATCCAGTTTCTAATAGCTTTAAATGAACATGCGTTACCTAGTTCTGGCAGCCGTTTTCATCCTGTGATTTTAACATATTATAACATGCTTTTAGGTATCGATAACTATCAATAAACAACAGTCTGCACCAACACTTTATACCACGACTACAATAATTAACACATAAGTTGGCTCTACCTACTTCACCTGGATACATTTTAAATATAACAATATGGAAGCTAAACGATATCATGCTGCTATTATTTGCAGATGACGTACGCGTATCATTGACTAATGATACTGTAATAGGCCTACAAAAGACCTTCATGTGTTAAAATGCTATTGTAACAAATGGGCCCTAGAAGTTAACCTAGAGAAGTCATGTATTGTTGTTTTCAGAAATGGCGGATGCCTAACAAATACAGACAAATGGACTTATTATGGTAAACATATGAAGGTAGTATCCCACTATACATATCCAGGTATTTTCTTCACATATATTTGACAGTATAATAACTTCCATATTGTTATATGGTTCGGAAATTTGGGGCTACACTTTTACTTTTACTTTAAACGATATTTATGCTTTAATTAAAAAGTATCCACCAATGCTGTACTGGGCATGTTGGGCCCATATCGTATCAGGAAAAGGAGTTAAAATATCATATGTATTGCAAAATATGTTATTAGAGGCTAATCGTGCTAAAGGTAATAATAATAAATGGTTATTGTCTATTGAATCTATTTTTTATCAAGACTCGATTAAACTCTATATGTCATTCACATTGTTTTAATTCTGTCCATTCAGTAAATGTATTTTGCCAATTATATGATATGATCACTATTTGCAAATGGTCACCTGAAATGTTGAATCATCAAATGCTGTAACGTATGGAATATTGAATATATAAAGTCATGTCTACCACCAACAACTGGTGACAAAGGAAGAAGCCATTGACATCAGGAGACACCAGCTATGAACCGTGACCAGGGAACCTATCTGACTAGTGCTTGGGACTTATTGCTTTGATCTTCGTCGGTGCCTATTATCTAGCTGGCTTCCATTTGCCTATTGTTATTCCTATTCTTTAACCTACCAGTACTAAATACCCCGGCCTCCCGTTTGCCCATTGTCCATTACCAATCAGTGATAATTGAGTCCTGGCTTCCAGTTGTCCATAACTTTCCACCTTTTGTTATCTTATTACATTAGCTGTCTTTACATACACATATATATGCTTTATGCCTCATAGCATCATCCACGTGATGAAGGAGTAAGCGTATACTCCGAAACGTTGTGTTCCTCATAATAAAGAAGTTGACATACATAGATTCTCTTCCCTAATATTTTGATAAATTATGTAAAAGACAATGGTTCTCACTTATTCAGTTAAGAACATTATGTCTAGCTTCTAGTTGAAATTGATCTTAATAGAAAGAAAAATAATATATGTGATAGTAGTGACTTTGGTGATGAATTCCATGCACTTTCAACTGTAACTATTTTAAAGGTTACAGATTTAATTTGTTTCCTAGATATTATCACAGAAGGAAAATGTGTTACAATTCCAGTCTGGTTAAAAGTACAAACGTGGTGTGTTAAACAAATGATCTAAGTTTTGTTCAATCATAATGCAAATATATAAGTCATCTGGGTAGAAATAATATGTACACTGTTTTGCTGTAAATTGTTGTAAATTGTAAATAATCTGCAGCTGCCCTGTAGTAACATTGTCATATAGGCAAGCACATTTCCATTCAAGTATGTTGTTCTTTCATGTTTCATCCTAAAAGATATGGATACGCTTTCCTGCTTTTGATTTGATAGAGGTTAGATCAACAGCTGAAATTAAGTTTATAAAATAGCAAAGATATTATTCAATCGAATTTCTATCCGCCAATACTACATCATGGAATTCTAAGTCCACAGTCTTGGCGTTGTCGTTTTCTGATAACCTTTTACAGTTCTAAATCAAGGCTACTCGCATCAGTGTCATGACACACTTTAGGCCAGTGGTCTACATTTGTTGACTTATTTCATGATTTACGGTATTTGTGAAGAACATTTAATGTAGGATCAAGCGGATGAGGGGTGGAGGGAATTATGAGCATAGATAAATATTTTATGATACTAGTTTGTATGATAGCTCAAAATAGATTTTGATGTATATATATGTTTATAGTATCCCCAAAATAAGTAGGATTAATCTGATATGTTAAGATGAAATAAGGCTGAATGATACTGAACCTACCAAACTGTTTTAAAGGTTCGTTTTAGATTCGAAATGTTAGGGCAGTGTAGGTACGTGTATTCACTATCGATATATATTATTCTTTGTTTCTAAAAGTCGCACCATTAAATAAATAGTGAAAATTGGTCCTCAATACCTGGTGAGTTACATAATTTACATAAGATAGTATTGCTCCATCTTCCGGTCTCAATTGGAAGGTTATGGGGTGATGGTCTACATTTTAGTAGCGGGTATGATTCTCATTTAGGTAGCAAAAGGTACTTTTCAAAACTAGATATTTACTTAAAATGCAAATTCCTCATGGTCACTTGCAATTAAATATACCTCGCTAGTGTATTGAGCATGTTTTGGAAAACGTAACAAGATGTGGGTCTGCAGGGATACTGAGCAAACGGAGCGATTAAATAAGTTGTATGTCCATATATTTCCAATCCATTTCATAAGGTTTGATTGAGTATTGATGCCTGTAAGGACCCACGGGGACTAAAGCAAGGATGCCTTGTCTCACCATTATTGTTCTCTATTTACATTAACGACCTGGCGGCCAATATAAAAAGCATGAACTGTGGTGTTGACGTAAATGATTTAAATATTTGTATTATGTTATATGCTGATGATATTTTATTATTGGCGCCCACGGAGGACAAACTTGCAAAATCTGTTAAACGCGGTCAATGAATGGTGTCAAAAGTGGAGACTTACAGTTAATCCTACAAAAACTAAGATTGTTCATTTTAGGCCTACCAATTCAAATTGCTCCACAACCAACTTTTCAATTGGAGAAACTCTTTTGAAGTTTAGTAACAAGTATAAATATCTTGGTTTGTGGCTCAACGAACACATGGACTTTAAGTTCACAATTAATGAACTGGCTAAATCGGCAAGCCGAGCTTTTGGTGTTTTATGTACAAAATATTTTGATGCTGGTGGTTTTGCTTATGCAATTTACACTAAATTGTATGAATCCTTGGTTCAGCCCATTATGCAATATGGTGCTTCCATCTGGGGGTTGTATGAACATAAAAAGTTAAACACTGCAAAACAAAGCATGTAA